AAATATAACATAATTAAATGAGTGTATATTTCTCCTGTTGTTTTCCTTCCTGGAGTATGCTTTGCACAACCAGATCTTTTCTGAACAGGACGCTTGCAACTGCATGTAACACACATGGGACTACCAGTACTGTATTAAGCTGAGTAGCACACAGAGAGTACAGTCAAATCCATAGCCTGACCGACACAAACTGGGGCCAGCAGTAGGTAATTTAACCTGGATTTATGGGTCAGAGTTATAAGAACTGGCATACTACACCATCTTGACATTCAAGGTCTCAGAGTCAGCTTCACTCAAGTGCCAACAACCAAGTAGTTGGGAGTGGCCCACAAAGCAAAGTTCTGCTCTTAAAACCCTTGATAAACATGGCTTTCTGGGATTCTCCATTTGCATTAGCTGATTCTATGCTAAACCCAGGTAATTTGTCCTTCTTTCCTGCACCCTTGCTTTTGTACTCTGGAGGGTAAAAAGGGTCGAAGCATCACTGTGCAGTAAAAGCTATCCATGGAAGTAGAGCTCTTGCTGACCCATCTTCAACACAATTGGTGGTATCATCACCTCCAGAATTTGGCTCTATAATCAGAACCTAGTTAATGACCAGGCTGACAGCACATATGCTAGAAAAATAATCTTGCTTCTTCCCCTCTGGCTCTTCAGAGCCAAGAGCAGCCAAAGAATGTATTTGCCAGGAGAGAGAGATGACAAGTGAGTATGATGTGAAAGGCAACAGCTCCCTATCTATGGAGCGAGCTATTTTTAGTGCCTATTCTGACCACTGACAAACTTACGTTACTTAGAGCAGTGGTCTCCAAAGTAGGGGGCGCGCACTCCAGGGGGTGCACAAGATGATTCATTGGGGTGTGGGAAGAAAATATTAGAACTTCTATTTATATTTATATAAATATACATATATTGGGGGTGCGTGCTCAAAAATTTTTTAGTGATGGGGTGCGCAATCAAAAAAGTTTGGAGACCACTGCCTTAGAGAACTATATATACAGGGCCAAGGCGCCAACAATTACAGTATTTGCAAAAACAAGCTGGGATATCAGCCTCTCACACAGCAAGTGCTTGGTTATGACACCCAGCTTCCCAAGTGTTTATGGATCTGGAGGCCTGCTGAAGATTGAGCTCACAGAATGTATCCACAACCGCTGCAAGATAATATAGCAGCAAGGGGTGGCAAGAGCTAAACTTACTGCACCATCTCAGCGACGTAATCATCCAGGTAGCAGCTGTTGAACTTCACCAAGTTCACTAGGACCAGGAGGAACTCAGAAGACAAACCGACTTCCATCCACTGTAACACAAACTCAGCTGGAGGAGAAACAGGTTGGGTTGTTACTACGTGGTTTTAATCCAAGGCTGTTGTGAACTCCCTCCTCCCTCCTATCGCTGATAGGAATCCTGTTCCTTGATACATTTACATCTAAATAAACTCCTTCCTAAATGCCTCAATGAAGGCAGGTCAAGCAGCTCAGTGCTCTGCTACACTCCTCTTAGCAGTTGTATACAATTTGACAGCAACTGAAAATTCCCCACATATGAACAAAAATATGAACAGGCATTAATTTAAATTAGGACAGCTCTCCAAACTTGCAACAGCCTCGGACAATGAATGCCCCCAAACCTTCCCCAGCCCTGTAAAATACTACACTTAAAAACCCATATCAAAGGCAGCATGGACAACACGTGCCCGCAGCAGCTGGGTGGCACGAGCGTGGTGGCAGTAAGTGGGGGAGCTCCCGCAGACACTGCCGGCGCTGTTGGCGGCGGGGGGCCAGCAAGCACTGACCGGGGGTAGCTGCATACACCCACATGCACCCTCTACGGGTCACCACTGAAAGGCAGGTAGCTTTTTTAAGAGGCAAATCCAGCCTCATCGAGCTACTTGCAACAGGCTCTTCCAACATTAAAATTTCAGGTGCTTGACAAATGCAACTCACCCAACTCCTCCTCCAGGTAAGTGATGTACCTTCCATTATCTGTGAGGGCCTTGAACACTTCAAGCCGCTCATGCAGGTCTTCGTTAGAAGGATAATCCTTAATTACCCTAAAGAAATGTGCTCGAAGGATCCCTAATCGCTCGCCCTTAAAGGAAAAGGGTACAGTGTTAGACACAGAGCCGCTGAACTCATGCCTTTTACACCGCAGCAAGGAAGCAGCCTGAAGATTCAGCGCATGTGAAACCCCCCCTCCTTTTCCCCTAAGCTGTACTAGAGCCTGCTGAGTCTCTCTTCATGGGTAGCTGTCAACAGCCGGTTCCTTTTAGCCCCCTACAGCAGAGATCTACCAACTGGCACTCCTAGGCCCTGACGTTTTGTCTGCTATCTGGTAGGCCCAGGGCCCTGGGCTGGCAGAGTGGTCCCAAGAAACATACTATAAAAAACGGTGCTCTGTGGCATACTGCTGAAGCTCAAGGATTCATAGTGTGTTCAAACGGGAAAAAACAACAGAACACAATATCCCAGGTATAACATCTAGCTACATACTTGGCCTAACTAAAATAGCACAGGGAGCTGCAAGTCAGACTCCTGGTACATCGAGGGCACGTCCGGATAAAGATTAGAGGATGCCAGGCGCATTAAACTTGAATTTACCCCCAAATTGTTGCTCTCTTTCCTTAACACAGAATCCATCCAAGATGAAAACAGAACAGAAGCAAAGCTCAGAGCCAGGAGGTGAAAATAAGACCCAAGCACACTGAGCAGCTGTCTCTTCCTGTTCGCTGTGCTGGACTGAGAGAACAAGCAAATGGCAGGAGGTCACCAACGCTCCTCTCGCTTGCTAAAAGGAGGCAGCTTTACCTGTCCTTGAACGATGGCCTTCACCAGATGGAGCACAGCGTGTCTGGCTTCTGCAGGCCGCTCTGGCTGCAGCATATCAGCGACCACTTTCCACACAGCTTCCACAGCGTGCTGCAGGTGAAGGCAGAAAGCACGGCTGTTTCAGAGACCACTAGCCATGGCAGTCAGGATGGTTCCTGGTCTCCCCCCTCATCAGCAAGTCACCCTTTAAGCAGTGCAAATTACAATAGCGAAAATAATGTCAAGGTGCCATTCACCCCTACCTCCCCTGTAGGGAGAGGGAGATTGAAGCAACACTGGATACTTTGAAGGCTGGTTTACCCTGAGCCTGCACCAAGATGCACACTGGCTTCACACGCACCCTTGGCATTTCAGTGCAACTCTGAGAGGGCATGAATGCCCCCTAAACAAAATGACAATGGGACACTTGGTCTGGACTAAGGGCATCCACACGGGAGCCTGCACCCCAGTAAGAAGTATAAATAATTAAAAATCAGTTTGTCATGACTTTTACTTGCAGAACAGATCCAGAACTAAGCAAGCACTACAGAAAGGACATGGACAACTTGGAGAGAGTCCAGCACATGGCAATGAAAATGGTTGGGGGCTGAGGGACATGACTTGCGAGGAGAGGCTGAGGGAACTGGGCTGATTTAGTCTGGAGAAGAGAAGAGAAGACCGAGGGAGATTGAACAGCAGTCTCCTACTCCCTGCAGGGGGGCTGAAAAGAGGATGGAGCTGGACTGGTCTCAGTGGGGGCAGAAGACAGAACAAGGAGCAATGGGCTCAAGCTGCAGCAAGGGAAGTTGAGGTTGGATATTAGAAAAACTTTATTGTGAGGACGGTGGTGAAGCACCGGACCAGGTTACCTCGGAGGTGGTGGAGTCTCCATCCCTGGTTTTTAAGGCCCAGCTCAACAAAGCCTTGGCTGGGATGATGTAGTTGGGGCTGGTCCTGCTTGGAGCAGGGGGTTGCACTAGATGTGACCTCCTGAGCTCCCTTCCCACCCCAATTATCTGCGACTGTGTGATGACCATCTCTCTGCAGGGCAGCAACACCCTCCGGCGCTTTGCTTTCCCTCGCTTCACAAAGTCTTCCTGCAGCTCCCACCCCACTCGACTCCTGTATCCCTGTCTACATCAGACGGCTCCAGGACTGCACGGCGCGACGCACAAGCTTCCTGCACTGCGGCAGCTGCCACCAGCTCCTCTGGACCAGCCCAGGCCGCCCATCCGCCCGCCCCCGCACCTCTTCGAACTTCTTGGTTTTGGCCACTTCACAGATCTGCCCAATGGCTCGGATGCGGTTGTTCAGCCCGCACTCCATGCTCAGCTCCTGCAAGGGGGAAGGAGAAGCACCACGTTAGCCCCGGCCCTGCAGTGCCTCGCCCTCGTCCTGCGGCCGACCCGGAGCGCAGTGAGACACGTTTAGGACTCCAGCGCAGAAACCGCAACGAACCAAGACCCGGCTCTTGGCGAGGGGGGACGCCCACGCCGGTGTCCGCGAGAACGGGTGGGCGCCGGGGGTCGCGAGGGGAGGCCGTGAAGCCAAGCCCAGGATGGGGCTCCGGGGTCCCGCCTGCCCTGCCCGCCACGCCACGCCGCCGGACCTTGAGGATCTCGGTGGTGACGATGAACTCGGTCTGCTTGCCCTCCGCCGACTTGGAGCTGGGCCGCGCTGGTCCCAGGCCCAGCAGCAGCTTGAACTTCTCCTTCAGCCCCGCGTCCTTGCCCTGCGGCTTCGCCATCGCGGCGCCGGGACCAGACGGTGGGCACCGGGCAGGCGTGGGGCGCACACGCAGAAATGGGACACACCCCCACACACACGGTTGTGTACACGCACAGGTACACACGCAAGATCCACACACCCAGTTGTGTAGACGCACGAGATGCACACACACGGTTGTGTACACACACACACGGTCGTGTTCACGCACAGGTACACACACAAGATGCACACACCCACACACCCAGTTGTATAGACGCACGAGATGCACACACACAGTTGTGTACACGCACACTCGGTCGTGTACACACGCACAAGATGCACACACACCGCTGTACACACACACCCCTGCACTCACCAGCCCGCCCCCGCCCCCCCGCCGGAAGTCGGCGCCACAGCCGCTTCCGGGTGGGCGCGTCACGTGCCGCCGCGCGGCATGCTGAGGGCTGTAGTCCCGGGGGTGCCGCCATGAGCGCGGCCGCGTCGGGGGGGCGTCGGGTCACCCG